TAGAAATGTCTTTTTGTTATCACTGAATGCTTTGGTTGCATAGCAAGATGCATTAAGATAGACTTAAATAGTTCTTAATCCTTGATGATGGGAGACAGACACAAATTGGTAATTCTAGAACTATCAGAAACATCTCTCCCATACCTTCTAGAAGAGAAGATATTCTTTTGTTCTGGAAGGGGTTTCTTTGGGAGGCTCTCTTAATCATGTGTCCCTGTTTGAGGTCCTTTATTATCACTTGATGTATTGGTCAATAATCTCACTATTTTAGATGGGATTTAAGTATTTTGTCTAACCACACGAAGGTCCTTTGATGACAGATACTATGAAAAACTTCTTAAGAAGTAAAGATAGGGCCTCCCTGGTGGCGCAGCGGTTGAGCGCTGGGTTGTGAAGCTGCCCGCAGCCTCTGCAGAACCGTTCGATCCCCGGCCACCGGGTGAGGGTCCCACAAGGCACGCAGACCTCTTCTGCCACCCGCTGCTCCCCTCAGCAGTGTATTTCGTCAGTCTGCCTGCTCTGCTCTCCCCTCTGGCTCTGGTGAATTCTCTCACCCTCCCGCTCTTCTGACTGTACCCAGTGCTTGTATAAATAAATAAATAATTCTTTAAAAAAAAAAAAAAAGAAGTAAAGATAGGGCCTCCCTGGTGGTGCAAGGGGTTAAGACACAACCTATGAAGCTTATTAGCAGCCACTGCAGCAAGAGTTCGATCCCCGGTTAGGGAGCTACCCACTTGGCACTGCAGACCTCTCCTGAATCACCTGCTGTTCCCCTCAGCAGTGTATTTCAGTCAATCTACCTGTTCTGTTCCCCACTTTGTCTCTGGTATGTCCTCTCACTCCCTGAACCTCTCGCTTGTACCCCAGTTCTTATATGTATAGATAAATAAATCTTAAAAAAAAAGTAAAGGTAAAAATTTTTAAACTGTAGAAATTGACAGTATTTCTGGCAGGCCAGAATACTGGTATTTGGTTGGCCTGAAGTTTGAAGGAGCTAATTGTAGTGAGCAATAGGCATACAGATGAGCAAAATAAAATGATTTGAGTTGGCAAGAATTGTATTTGCATTTAAAAAAATATTTCTTACATAGTGGTTCTGAGTTAAAATTTAACATATTTTAAAATCTGTGCATTACATTAATATGTACAAATAATAGTTTGAAGCATGCATATAATTAAAAAAAATTAAATTGCATGAAAATTTAATTATTTTTCTAAATAACATGTATTTTTATTCCTTTTTTCCTTTATTTTTATAGAGGCATGTTTATTTATTTATTTGTTTGTTTGTTTGTTTTGTTTATACAAGCACTGGGTACAGCCAGAAGCGCGGGAAGATGAGGGAATCCACCAGAGCCAGAGCCGGGAGCAGAGCAGGCAGAAGGACCGAAGCACACCGCTGAGGGGAGCAGCGGGAGGCAGGAGAGGTCTGCGCCGGGATCGAACAGGCGCAGCAGAGGCCGCGGGCAGCCTCGCAACCCAGAGACCAACCGCTGCGCCACCGGGGAGGCCCCCTTTCTTTCTTTTTGTATTTTCTTTTTCTAACCCTGTCTTGTCTCATTTGGTGGATGTTTTTGTGAAGGACATGTGGCAAATTGATTTCAATGCGTTCTTCAAAGTTGGTTCATTGATGTCATCATCCTTCCCTTTTTGAAAGTACTACTGCATACTTCATTGTTAGGAATGTTTGTGTATGTGTGTGTGTAGCTTTGGCCATTTTACTGTAAGACTGGGAGGAGGGAGAGAGACCTTTCCGGGCTTACAGTGCCATCTTGAAATGAAAAGCCAAATTCCTCTTTGATGAAGTCATTTAAACCTAGATGTTATGGGAAAAAGAGCTCTCTCAACTCTCTTTCAGAAGATGTTGTTGTATTGGCCATAGTCTCCTTTTCAAAAATTGAAGTGTAATTGATATGTAACAGTATATTAGTTCAGGAGTACAACATAATGAATTGACATTTATATGCAATGAGAAAAGATCACCACAGGAAATCTATTTTCCATCACACTTAAGAATTTCTCAAGTTTGTTATACTGTAGTATTGTCTATGGGCCCCATGCTGTAGGTCATGCTCCCCTAAAACATTTTTTTAAGTCAAAAATTCTCAGGGGCCTCTCTGGTGGCACAAGGGGTTAAGTCTCAGCACATGAAGCTATCAGCAGCCACTGCTGCAACAGTTAGCTCCCTGGGCAGGGAGCTGACCCACATGGCAAGGCAGACCTCTCCTGTCTCACCTGCTGCTCCCCTCAGCAGTGTGTTTCAGTAGATCTGCCTGTTCTGCTCCCCAATCTGTCTCTGGTGAATCCTCTCACCCCTCCCCCCACACCTCTGGCCTGCACCCCAGCTCTTGTATGCGTAAATAAAAATGAATCTTAAAAAAAAAGTGTACAACGCTATAGAATCAGATAATTTCCAGAAGGGATACTATACAACACCGAGCACCCCACTGAAAAGACACTGGTAATCTCTTGTGTCCATTTCCAAGTTTTGGGCATTTTCCCTGATATTGTTAGGGGGAAAAGGATGTCCCAAAGCAAATTCCATATAGGTTTTGTGGACTCCACCCCCACCCCAGGTCAAAGCCAAAGACACTGGAAACTCCAAATCCCATCACCACCAAAGGGAAGGTGGCTGGGACCTGAGGGTGGGGTTAAGCAGCCAGGTGGATATAAAAGGCAGACATGTGGGCTTTGGGGGACCCCATTTTGGCTCTCCGCCAGCTCGCAGTGTCAGGCCAGTTTCGAGAGTGACTTTGGGTTTCCAGGTCGTCGGATCCGGTAGGACGCATTGAAGACTTTATTTCCCTATTTTCTCCCTGAGTTGTACATTTTCCTTTCCTCTTGTAAATAAACTTTTTATTAACGTTTTTGTGTGTGTCTGTAGTAGAGTATTCATAAGTCCCTTTAAAGCGCGCGGGTGAGGACCCACAGCCAGGAACCCGTTTAATATCGGGGTTGCTCTATAACAATATCATCAATTTAAAAAATATGATTATATATACATTTATTTATTCTGCAGGGGAGACATGGCAGAAACGAGGTACAATTGACTAAAAATGTCTTGAATAGTATTTTTATTGAAACAATTACATGATTTCAAAGTTCATGGGGAATTGAGCTTAACAAAAAATTATCTAAATAATAGGCAAAGGACTGCAGTACCCTCACTGTCCATCTCCTAAACTCCAAAGCAGACTCCTATCTTTGCTGAACAAAAAATAATTAGCAAGAAAACCTGCTGCAAAGAGCCTAGGAAGTTTATTTTTAACTACTTCTCTTTAAGGCTGCACAACAAGTTTAGCCCTTATATGGGTGTGTTCACGGATAGTTAGATTTAGAGCAAGCTCATGGGACCAAGAGAAAACAAGTGAGGATGTGGGTGAACAGTGGGGGACTCTGCATTTGGAGAGCCCCACTGACATCACAAGCTGAAAACCTTCTAACTGGAATTTATTTTCTCCTCCAACTTGCGAAAACTCCCTTTGGGTTTCTATCTCAGTGACTCCCACCATCATCAGCCCAGCTGACCACACCAGAAATTTAGGTGAGGTCTGTAATTTCTTCCCTTTCCCTCCACATTCTACCAGCCACAAAATCCAGTGGCTACCACTCAGTACCACTCTCAGCTGCCACTTCTCTCCATACTCTGCCAGTGACCTGGTCATGTCTTCTCTTGCCCAGATTCCTGCAGCAGCTCCAGGCTGATCTTCCCGCCTCCTATGCCCCAATCTCAATCCCACAGAGCAGACAGGGAGCCTTTCTGATGAGGTCACTGTCTGCTTAAAACCCTGCAACAGCTTCTCAGCTGGTTTATGAGTCTCATTTATCTCCTGCACCTTGATGCCTCTCTTCAATCCTCTTTTCCACTTCACGGAGGACCTCCTCCACGTTTCCAGAATACATTCATATAGTCATATATATATATATATATATATATATATATGAATATGTGAATGTAAAACATATATATGTATGTATATATATTACCTTATCCTTCATTTTTGTACAATGTATGATTTCCCCGTGAAATTCTCACCAATTCACCCGTGCACCATCACCATCATCCCTTGGGCTGGTGTTCCCCCCTGTCCTGATCCTTCTCCTGCCTCCTCCCCTGCAGAACGTGTCTGGGCTATGGGTGCCTGTTGATTTTGATTTTTACTTTATTATAGAATACATTCTTGCCTGCGTCCCTTCCAAAACGCCCTTCTCACGAAGTATAGATTGGTTTTCTTTTCTCAGAGTCTTAGTTTACCTCCTCCTTGAAGCCCTCCCTGAAGCCCCAGGCAGGGTGATCTAGAAGCAAGAGGAACTAGCGCCAGCCCTCCCCTCCCTCCAGCTCTGCCTCCCCTTGAGAGCTGTCACGGTCTAGTCTGTCTTCCCTGGGTGGCCTGGGCCTGTGGCTTCTTGCTGTCTCTCTGCTCTTGGAGAGCCACCTCACCCAAGGTGTCTTTTCCCTTCTCGGAGATTTCCACTCCTGCCCTCACCTCTCTTCTCTTGCCACCCCAGACTGCCTTTCTGAGCCCGCTTGTCGGTTAGGATCCCCGTTCATTTCACTTGCGTAGAGCCCGTGTCCGCTTCCCGTGCCCCCTAACTCAGCCTGGGACTCCGCGTGCAGCTGTGTCACACGCGCTGGGCCCGCGTCTGTACCCGAGGGCCGCCTCCCACCTCTGCCCACCGCGGGTCCCCAGGGCCCACCGCGCGGCTGCCGCGCAGCAGGTGCACGCGCCAGTGAAGGCGCGAGTGCCCGAAGGAGCCGCCGCCCGGCGCGCGGCCTTGCGGGAGGGAGGGGCTGCGCCCCCCGTCTCTCCCGGACCCCGCGGCGCCCTCCGCTCCCCGCTCCCCTGCGCGGCGCCGGAAGCTGCCGGGCCGGCCCCCTCCCCGCGGCGCCCGCCGCCTTATCTCGGCGCCTCGGGCCGCAGGAGGAGCCGCGGGCGCGCCGGGAGGGACGCAGCGGCATGGGCCGGGGGTCCCGGGGCGGGGGCCGCCCGCCTCGCCCGCTGCTGCCGCTCCTGCTGCTGCTCGGCCTGGCCCGCGGCGCCACCGGAGCGCCGGGCGCGGACGGTGAGTGCGGGCGGGGAGCGGGCGCGGGGGCCTCGGCGGGGCCCTCTGGACGCCGGGCGCGCCCGGGACGCTTCCCCGCCCCTGGGCTCGACTGGCGCGGAGCCGGGGCGTGGAGCGCAGGTGGGGCCCGCGCCGGCCGTTGGGCATCTGGAAGGCGGATCTCTACCCAGCAGAAGGGGCGCCCGCCCCGCGCCCCAGGGCCGTCCGGGAAGGCCTGTTTGGAGACCGGCAGGCTGGCGCCCCTGCACCCGGACCGGCCGCGCGCTCCTCCCGGGACCCCAGGCGGGTGGGGGCTGGGCGTGAGCGCCGGCCCCCGGGAGCACCAGGCCCCGCGTGGAAGGGCGTGGAAGGGCGTGGGAGGGCGTTCAGGCTGCACGGTCACGCTTCCGGCCCAGCTGTGGCTTTTTGTGCGACAATTTTTTGACCTGAAGCAATTTTCTTTCTTCCTTTAACTTTTTTTCACTTTGATGAAGAACTGGATGCTAGTGTGGTGCGAAAGAATTGTAAGGAAGTTGACAAAAATCAAGCATTCGTTAATCGATTCATTCGTTTAACAGATGGCCCTGGAGGCGATTCCCTGGGCAGCCTGTGAGGTCGAGGTGCTGCCCAGCGTTCAGCTCATATTCTGGAGGAGGCAGACGAGCGAATAACCCGTGTAGGAGCAGTGGGAGTAGTTTTTTTTCCCCTTTCTGAGGAAGCAGTGTTGACTGTGGTAGGAGTGACAGGATCATTCAGAAAGGTGAGGGAGACTGCCGTTCTTGCTAGAGAGGGTGCGGGTGGGCCGAGGAAGAAGGGAAGATTATTTCCAGCGCAAGGAATCTGGTGGTGGCATGGGTGAGGTGACCCCTGAACTGGGCCATCAGGGATTGGTAGTATTTGGATGTGAGAAGCTGAGGAAAGGCATTCCAGCTCTTAGTGGAGGGCCCAGTGAGCTCTCCACAAACATGCACAGAAGGAATTGTTAGGGGGAAAGGATGTCCTGAGATAATCTCATACAGGCTTTGTGGACTCCACCCCCACTCCAGACTAAAGCCATCAGGACATTGGGAAAGACAAATCCCATCACCACCAAGGGGAGGGTGGCTGAGACCTGAGGGTGGAGTTGGGCAGCCAGGTTGAATATAAAAACCAAACACGTGGGCCTTGCTCTCTCTCTGGCTCGCGATCGCTCGCCTCCTGGCTTCACCGCTCCTGGCTGGCGGCCAGCTCTCAGAGCGCCATTTTGGGATTCCTGATCGGCGGATCGGGTAGGACTCATTTAAAACTTTGTCTCCCACTTTTCTCCCAGAGCTGTACATTTCCTCATTTCCCTTTCCCTTGTAAATAAACCTTTTATTAACCTTTCACGTGTGCCTGCAGTAGAGCATTGATAAGTCCTTTTAAGCGCGCGGGTGAGGACCCACAGTCAGGCACCCCGTTTTGTATCGGGGTTGCTCTACAACAGTTTGGCGCCCAACGTGGGGCTCGAACCCACGACCCTGAGATTAAGAGTTTCAGATGCAAGGGAGGACACGAGGGAGCACATAGAGGCACCAAAGCATGAGGCCTGTAGTTCAGTTGTCTGACATGTTGGGAGATGGATGGGACATGGGGTTGTTGTAGAGCAACCCCGACACAAAACGGGGTGCCTGACTGTGGGTCCTCACCCGCGCGCTTAAAAGGACTTATCAATGCTCTACTGCAGGCACACACGAAAGGTTAATAAAAGGTTTATTTACAAGGGAAGGGAAATGAGGAAATGTACAGCTCAGGGAGAAAAGTGGGAGACAAAGTTTTAAATGAGTCCTACCCGATCCACCGATCTGGAATCCCAAAATGGCACTCTGAGAGCTGGCTGCAAGCCAGGAGCCGTGAGGTCAGGAGGAGAGCTATGGCAACCCATCCCAAGGCCCACGTGTTTGGTTTTTATATCCAACCTGGCTGCCCAACTCCACCTTCAGGTCCCAGCCACCTTCCCTTTGGTGGTGACGGGATTTGTCTTTCCCAATGTCTTGATGGCTTTAGTCTGGAGTGGGGGTGGGGTCCTGGGATTAACTCAGGACATCATTTCCCCCTAACAGGGTTGGATTTAATAAAAATAAAAAAAAATTTTATATTTTAACCAGCAGTGCTGGTTCGATTCCTGCCGGCCAGAGAGATAACCATATGGCACAGCAGACCTCTGCTGTCTCTCCCGCTGCTCCCCTCAGCAGTGTATTTCAGTAGATCTGCCTCTTCTACTCCCCACTCTCTGTCTGGTGGATCTTCTCACCCTCCCGTGCCTCTAGCCTTTACCCCAGTTCTTATGTAAAAATAAATCTTAAAAAAAGGAGTGATGTAAAAGGTGGAAGTACCGATATACTACAGCTTCCTTAATAAAATCAAACACTGCTCCCAAAGTGGAAGGGAACTTTCATATTAGGAGATCTGTTGGGGAGGATTCTGTAGCTCAGACTCCTTTCCCCCAAAATTTCTTTGCCTTGGAGCTTATATCTTCACTGGTGGATATCTCTCTTGATGGCTCAACCTTCTGGAGTGGCCACTTATGTACATGAGGTGCTGAGGGGGACTTTCTGACTCCTTCCCTAACTTGATCTCCCACTGCAATATCCACAAAAACTTGTAGAAGCTGAGAGCTGATTTTAGTACCTTTGTGTTAAGACTTTCTGGTCTAGGTAATGCCTGTGTGATCTCATCAAATTGCTGCATTAAGATGGGTGAACAAGAAACCCTCTGCAACTACTTAAACCCTCATCAGCCCTCTGCAACTGCTTAAAGGATTGGGGTGAATTTGGGGAAATGGAAATTGGGTTTCCTCATTGAGCCTCCTCTTCCTGTATTGGCATTCTTCTTTTCTTTACAGCCTTGGAGAATCTGATTTTATTAAGGGCAGGTTTCCTTCCAGTGGGCCATGTGGAGAATGCCTGGGAACTTGAGCCATTGAGGAGGTTGTGGCCTAGATGTTCTGAGGATCGGACCTGTGGAGTAATTGTTATAGAGCAGCCCCGATATTGAACGGGTTCCTGGCTGTGGGTCCTCACCCGCACGCTTTAAAGGGACTTATTAATACTCTACTACAGACACACACAAAAGGTTAATAAAAGGTTTATTTACAAGAGAAAAGGAAATAAGGAAAATGTACAACTCAGGGAGAAAATAGGGAAATAAAATCTTTAATGCGTCCTACCCGATCCGACGACCTGGAAACCCAAAGTCACTCTCAGAGCTGGCCGGACTCTGCAAGCTGGCGGAGAGCCAAAATGGGGGGGGACCCCCAAAGCCCACGTGTCTGCCTTTTATATCAACCTGGCTGCTTAACCCCACCCTCAGGTCCCAGCCACCTTCCCTTTGGTGGTGATGGGATTTGGAGTTCCCAGTGTCTTTGGCTTTGGCCTGGGGTGGGGGTGGAGTCCACAAAGCCTGTATGGAATTAGCTTTAGGACATCCTTTTCCCCCTAACAATTCCCCCCTTTCACTTTTTGCCACCATTTCCATGGTGATGAAGATCGAATATATGGAGGTTGGGATGCAGTCTCAGATGAACATTTTTTCCAGGTTGTATGGAATTAGCTTTAGGACATCCTTTTCCCCCTAACATAATGACAGCAGGAAGGACAGAATGTGGATGACAAGGTGGACCTAGAACTGGAAGGATTAGTCACAGATGTTAAGGGGCAAAGGAATAGCAGTGGAAAGATGACACCACTTGGAGACCAGGTGACTTGGATATATGGTTGCATAGGATGAGAAAATGAGTTCGGAAACAAGATGACCAGTTGTTTAGGGTATCCTGAATTTGAGGTGATATTAGGGCCTTTTGAGGGAGGAAACCAAGAGGGACTGGACAATAAATGTGTGCACGTGATATGGAACTGATCCACTTGAAGACTTGCGGTTGATAAGATTAAGAGGATGAAAGACAAATTTTGAGGGAAGAGGCAAGCAGAGGACAAAGAGCAGCTGCCTCACAAGCCAGAAGAACACTAAGCTAGTTGATCCTCAGGGACCTCAAGGGAGAAGAAACTGAGGGCATGAAGGAGATTCAGAAAGGCTTTGGCTAGCAGAGCAGTGAGCGTGAGAGCCAAATGCAGAGTAGGCCCTCTTTCAAGACATGAGGAGAGTGAAGGTAGCATTGAATTGGACCCATCGGGTGAGTACAAGGTTTTTTTTTTTGCTGGGGTGGGGGCTGGAGGGGGAAGGTAAAGCATACTTAAGCTCATGTTAGACTGAGGAGCATGATTCAATAGAGGAGAAATTGAGAATGCAAGATATTTAATGGAACAGGTCAGAAAGCAAAGTTGGTGTACAGGTGGGAAAGGTGAGTCCCTGCAAGGGAAGGGAAGGAGAATGAAGAACTGTTCTTCCTTCTCCCACAATATATACTTAGCAAGTGCTGTTCATATTTCAAAACCAGTCTGGTTATCCTCCCTCCTGGGAATTCCCATGGAACTTTCCATTTCCATTTGCAGCTCCAGTGATCCCATACCTGTAGCTCTGCACCAGGTACAGTGTGGACACTTACACATGTATACATGTTTGTATGGTACACTTACTCTACACATTGTACCACATTGCAATGAAATTGTTTGCCTAAGAAAGCATTGTGAGTAGGGAATGTGGCTTGTACTAGGAACCTGGTGTAGAGATAAATAAGACCACCCAAATGAGAATAAAGGCTATTTATTTATTCAGAGCTTGCTGTAGCAAGAGTCAGCCATCACATTTGGCAGAGACTCAGAGGCAGGCAGGGGACTGTAAAAGCTTTACAGTAGAACAAAGGATGTTGGCAGGAGGAAGCTGGAGACAGCTTACTAACAGCAGGCATCCTGTGTGATTAGTTAGAGGAGCATATTAGGCTTTCTCTGATTGGTCCTAAGTTGGAGGTGGAAGGCACAAAATTAGGGAAGCTAGCAGTTATTGATTAAATCCTGACCATTTGGGACTTACTGCTACAGAGGCTGTGGTTTAACTTCCTGGACCGATGGCTACAGAGTGTGGGTCAGAGTTCTGTTTTTATGTGT